ACGCGTGCACAAGAGAGAATGAGCTATTCTCTCTTGCGTGCACCAATCAAAATCACACCAACAGTATTTTGACCACGGGTATTACAGGGAAATTCCTGGTAAAGTCCTGACATTGGGAGTTAACAGCTGACGACGGCGAGGATAATGACTCGACTGTTTTATAGTCACATTCGTTGTATCGCGCTGCACGTTTGCAAACTTCGAATGGGTTTTTCTGTTCCGTCAAACATTTGAGTTGGGCCGGAGTTAATGTTAATCACAATGCAACGCACTCGCCCAGCTTGGCCCGCAAAAACAAAACTGAGAATGACTCTAGACTGCTCAAGAATAGCGATATGGCAGGAGGCAGACATTGCTTTATTCTTTCAAGAGACAAGAATAAGAAAGATCAGAAAAATATTTGAAGAAAACTGGTCGACTATTGCCCGATACAGGGCGATCACAAGCAACGAAACTTGAAAGACAGAAACAAACAAAGTGGATCGAAATGCACCAATCACAAATAATTATTTGTTTCCTAAGAGGTCCGCTAAGATGATTGACGGAACAGAAAAACCCAAAATTCCTTCGAAGTTTGCGAAACACGCAGCGCGATACAACGAATTTGGCCATAATAAGCGAAACAACAAGTTTGCAATCACACTTTTCTAGTACATTTCTTTGTCCTATACAAACGAACAACGCGAAAATAGACCTCTTTAGCTTGTATTTTTTGTTTCTCCAATACAGGTCATGTGATAATAATCTCATTTATTTCCCGTTGCGGCAGTAAATGAGTAGGAGTCAGGGCTGCAACCCACGTGATCAAGACCAGGTTTTATGAGCCCGCGAGACTGAGCACCCCCAACCAAATCCTTTCTTTCACTAAAACCGCTGGACGCCAGCCTGGTTGAGGTCATTGTCATCTGAGGTCTTCCGCAACCCCTTTGAGACTGAAGTAAATCTTCAAGAGTGAGGCCTGGAGTTTAGTGCACCAGACCCTCTCGGCCAACGACCCAACCTCGTCCCCAGGGCTTTTCCCTTAAAAAATGGAAACCCCTGGGGACGAGGTTGCCAACAACCGCCCCGGCACGATGTTCAGTTGACTTGTGCCGCCCCCTGGAAATTACTGTTCATTTTATCGTGGCGCTTCGAAAAGCTATTCGTTAAAGTATGAACATAGCCTAATATTGGCAGTGATCATGTAAGCTTAAATGGATTTAACTAGATAACGCTTAAATAGATTTAAGGGAGTCTGTACAGAGTTAGAACGATTTATTTTAATTAAAAGTTATGTATTTTTATTTTAAAAATATATAATATGCCATTTTGCCATTATGTCAGCTGCTGCCTAAACATTTTGGATCATTATCTGCAGCTGGCCAAAGGGGGTTATATAAATTTCATAAATAAAAATACATGTAAATTTACGTAGTTAAGTGTTTTTAATTATCAAATTTATATAACAACCTTTGGCTAGCTGCTGATAACTAAAATTGATCTGTAGGTTGCGCTGATCCCCAAAATTAATTGTAGGCTCTTAGCCAATAAGGAGACAGTTAGTGAGTGCAATGTATGATAAAAACAAATATGTAATATTCGGGGGACAGTCACTGGTTAACTCTTTAAGCCCCAATACCCAAATACCAATTTTCCACTGTCCATACATTGCCTTATAAGATCAAAGCATTTCTTCTTTGGTGATCATTTTGTTAATTCTCCTAACCTTTTCTATTGATGATGTATTGATATAGTTAAGAGAAAATTGATGTTGGTCACTCTTGGGACTTAAAGAGATGAAGCAAAAATAGTGATTGAAAAGAAGAGCCATGCATAAGGTTGAAAACCCGGGGGACCCCCCTATGAAAGTGATCGAAAAGTCTAAAAACCTCCAAAGGAGACCAATGTGGGTGTAAGGGCTGTAAAGGGGCGTAAGGGCTGTAGGGGCTGTAAGGGTTGTAAGGGCTGTAAGGGTGTAAGGGCTGTAAGGGTGAAAGGGTGTAAGGGCTGTAAGGGCGTAAGGGCCCTTACACGAGCCCTTACACCGAAAATCTATTCGTAATTCATGACTGGTATAAAACTTTGGAAAAATCCCAAATTTTCGACTTTTTTAACTTGTTGTTTTTATAGTCTGGAAAGGTTTTGTTTCTTTCTAGAATACTTTTTTGTATATTTTCCAGGAGTACCCCTTCCCCCAGGAGCGCAAAGTACATTTTCTGTGAGATTTTGCTCATGTTTGAATGTAATATTTGAGTCCCAGGCTATTCACTTGGTTTGCATCACTACGTCTTAAACAATTTTTCGTTTACTGTTATGCCCACCTTGCTTTTGCGCAGGACCTATATCTTTATGTAAATGAAATTTCAAATATTGACTTTGTTATGAAATATTGTCCACCGATCCTGGTGGCAGCTCGACATGGATTTCTACCAGGTGCAGTCTATACAGCCTCTAAAAATTTCTTCCAATAAGTTATCTGGACAAAAACCGTTTTAAATCTTGGCGTATTTTCTATTTCACTCCTGAGCACTTAGCATAACTGACATATTTGTCCGTTTATCAAAAAACACTACTTTACTGAAAAAGTGGAATGGAGTCTTTCAGCTAAATAACATCGGAAGAAATCGAGAGTAACTTAATATCTTCCCAAGTTTAAATTAAGTTTAATTTCGAGAAGTTGAACCGTACATATATATGAACGATCCAATATAGTCCCGCAAAAATGGACTGTCTCCATTGACCGAATTCTCATAAATATTCTTGTGAAACTTTTAGAAATAGGTAAAGAGAATTTGGTTGTTGACCGAAAGAATGCCTCTTGAAGCAGGTGGGAAAAACGAAGGGTTGTGCAGACATTAAGGGGTTGAAAATAATACCCTCTGCAAAATTTATAAGTTTCTTGATGGAGCAATTGTACTGTCGCAATTTGTAATAATCATCGCACTTTGTAATACCTGTCGCAATTTGTAATAAATCCATCGCACTTTGTAATACCTGTCGCAATTTGTAATAAACCGTGTCGCACTTTGTAATAAAAAAGCTGTCGCAATTTGTAATAACAGTCCATCGCACTTTGTAATAAACTAAGCTGTCGCAATTTGTAATAAATCCATCGCACTTTGTAATACCTGTCGCAATTTGTAATAAACCGTGTCGCACTTTGTAATAAAAAAGCTGTCGCAATTTGTAATAACAGTCCATCGCACTTTGTAATAAACTAAGCTGTCGCAATTTGTAATAATTCCATCGCACTTTGTAATAATTTTTTGAGAGTGATTCAACTTACTTCGTCAACATTAATATAATGCCAAAATATGCTACTTCATAAACAAAGATGGTGACGTCTGCTAGCACGTAACATCTCCGTAACATTTTCTTTGGTCAAACATGCATGTCTACCGCTATAAATTTTTCTGCCTTGATTAATCACGTGACCAAGGAGAAAAGCTTTTATGAAAGACATGAAAATTCCTGTGACATATCACCAAAGAGATATGAATCATGTTTAAATTCAAGAATATTTAAATAACAAAAGCAACATTTAACAACAGAAAATTCATGAATAACCTGGCATTCGTCGTCCAAATCCATGTTTGCTTGCCACGTGACACGTGAACTCTTCGGGGGGGGGGGGATAATCCCATATATGGATGGGCTATAGATAGGTAAGTACCGCCTGATAGGGTATGGTTTTTGAGGATCTCGAGCCTTTAATAGGGTATCATTTTTTACGTTGTTGGCCTTGTGTCTTTGGTTTGATCCTTAGATAGGGTAACTCAAGTAGTAATGGATGGTTTATTCCATCCTTTCCATTTTGTGGAAAAACAGTAATCCAGAACACGCTCGAAAGAGTTGTATATACGCAGGGAAGGATAATTTTTTACTATTCCGGCCCCATGGTATTTGCTTTAGAGGACTCCTTATAGAAAACAATTGTTTTAAGATGGAATGAGTACTCCTTTTGATCCTATATGGGACCAAATCAAGTGAGAATAATGGGCCAAATGCCCAGCCGGCTCAGTGTAAGACCCCAAGTGAGTATTATAAAAACAGGTACATACGAAGGTATTGGCCAGCGACCAATTGGATTTTGTTTTTAGGTTTCTGTTGTGGTTCGACGGTTTGCCACTGATGACGTTTTTTTTTATTTGCAGTAAACATTTTGAATCTTTCCAGGCCTTGTTTGATTAAGTTGGCCAAAATATGGAAGCCACTATTACTTCTTTAAGATTGCGCGTTAGACAAGGACGGTGCACAACGTGTTGTATCGACCTGTTATAAGATCTAACAAGGAAAGCTTGAACTCTCGTGGTGTCCTTATTCGAATGATGTAGGATGGATGTTACGATTTGCGGAAATTAAATGCTTTTCAATAATGGTTCGTTTGTGTCTAGTGTGTCTAGCTCTGTCTAGATCCTGTACTCTGACAATGCTCTGTCTAGAGGCACATCCCTGTATTGGCCATATAAGGAAGTACACCCGCCGGGTAACCACTGAATGAAAACCACCTAGTACAATAGGAAGGTTTAAGAGTACCGCATTTCGTAAGTCAGATAACTAATCAACATTAATCTGAAAAAAATGTTTAGGACTGTGAATAAAGTTAAATGTTTGAATGAGCGGAGGTGTTACGTGCCAGCAGACGTCATCATCTTTGTTTATGAAGTACCATGCATATTTTGGCATTATATTAATGTTGACGAAGTAAGTTCAATTACTCTCAAAAAGTTATTACAAAGTGCGATGGAATTATTACAAATTGCGACAGCTTAGTTTATTACGAAGTGCGATCGACGGTTGCTACAAATTGCGACAGCTTTTTTATTACAAAGTGCGACACGGTATATTACAAATTGCGACAGGTATTACAAAGTGCGATGGATTTATTACAAATTGCGACAGGTATTACAAAGTGCGATGATTATTACAAATTGCGACAGTACAGCAATTATTTGGTGAAATGTCATTGGCTAACAGTTCGGGAAAAATTCTTAAAAAATTAAAGGGAAAAAGTTTAAATTATTTGCTGCCCCGAAACGGATAGTATTTACGAGTATGGGTACAGCCCGCAACACTTTATCCAAGAGCACCATGATCACAAATTTTCGCGCCTTGCTCAAGACTCACTTACATATCCTTCAATGGCTGCTGTATCCTTCATTTTTGTGCTGTTGTCTCCTCTTCTTCTTGTGTTTAATCCCACCGGATGGAGTATTTGCCCAGCTTGAAGGTTTGTGGTGCTATTCAAATCAGTCTTAAAATGATAAATAAAACGTTTAAAACCCAGACTAAAGACGGCAAAGGCAGTAAAATGCTAAAACATAATAAAAAGTTAACAGAGCACTAAAAAAGACTTCACTAAATTTGAGGTGATGTATCTTACATTTAAGGCAAAGAATGCCTTTAAAGTAAAATGGTATTCCATAAGGTTTGAGTTTCTGGTTACTTTGAATTATTCGCCTTTGGTTGATGTTATGGCACAAAAACAATTCTTGCACGTTGAAAATTTGAGCCTAGCGATTTTTCTTAAACTGTCGTTTCTGATCTAAATCAATCTCTTCCTTTCACGTAAACCGGCAAACTCTATTTTTTTCATTCTATATATTTTACTTACACGGCTTTTATAATATATAGTTTTTGTCGATTTTCTTGAACTGACAATTACGAATTTTGAATTAATGACCAGGTTTCCACAGCCTTTTCAACTTTTGACGCGAGCCAGTAAGTGAAAATTCATCAACACGGCTGGAAATCAATGTTGCCGAGAAACTCGGTCTGAGTTTGGGAGTAATAAATTGAAAACTAAAGAAGGTTTTCCTCCGTAAATTCGCAAATAACTTTGCACACTTTAGTATGGTGGAGCTGGTGGCGCTTCGGATTACACTATGGACTGACTCTTCCCTCGTTCCCGACGTATCAGTTTCAAATGTGCCAATTTTACAAAGTTTAAGGCGCTCTTCCCACTGTTTTAGATGAATACCGCGGTAAACTGCGTCTTATAAGTCCCAGGCTTATACATCTTCGTAAGGGGTTTTACGAGGGTTGATAAAGGGAGGGGGCTTTTAACCGGAATACAAAAAGTTCTTTGAAACAAGCTATAGCAGTGCTGATGAAAAAAAAACGTTTTGCGTTTACTGGTCTTTAATTGAGCTTCAAAACGCCAGAGCTAGAGAAGGGCTTATAATCATGGGTCTTATAAGTGGGGTGCAGGGGGCGTTGGAGATATAAGTGGCAGTCTACGGTACTCACTAGATGGTCCTTGACAAAGGTTGAAAAAATACGTGGAAGTGTCTAGTATTCTAAACCTTGTTGCAACAGTGACTTAACAAATAGTTACGACAAATTATTTAGTTTATTCGTTTCCTCTAAATGTTAAAAATTTTTTGTCCCGCAGAATTTAACACCTTGTATCACCGAGATCTTCGCCAAGACATTTTTGTAAAAGACGATCACCATTACTTGAATGTACCCAGAGTTGGAACATACGCCGTGTACGACACCCTGCACTGTGCCCTTCGATGTCTAAGTAATCCCTCCTGTTTTTCTATTAACTTGGCCGCGTCAAAAGGAGCAGACGGGAAGCTCTGGTGCGAGTTGCTATCTTCTGAAAAGAACAGCAGCCCTGGAGAGTACAAAAGAAACCAGAGCTCGCATCACTTTTCCATTATGGTATCACTATTATTTTCCCTCCACACCCCACCCTCCCCGTCCGCCGCCTAAAAGCACTGGTTAAACAACTTCACAAATGTTCTCCCTCTAAGATTTTCTCCCAATAACCCGCCGACATTTTTTTTAAAATTATGGCTTTTCCCGTTGTGTCTGAAAGAGGATTCGGTCACTTTAGACCATTTACAGCAGAACATCTGCCTTTGTCAGAATGCTTGGATAGGTAAAACGGAAGAGGAGTTATAAATAGGAAATTTGGTACCGCAGGTGTGTGTGTGGTCGTCATTTTTAATTTATCTTCAAGTTGGTTAAAGGGGTAAAGCACACGTACGAACAAACATGTCACTTAAAAAGTTAATTAAAAGAGGATTCAATTGAATGAGATGCATCACCCCAACGATAACCTCTAGAGATGTGTGTGTGTGGTCGTCATTTTTAATTTATCTTCAAGTTGGTTAAAGGGGTAAAGCACACGTACGAACAAACATGTCACTTAAAAAGTTAATTAAAAGAGGATTCAATTGAATGAGATGCATCACCCCAACAATAACCTATTTTTTCTCATTTTTCACTTTACATCTTTTACACAGTAAAACAGAACTTTCATCAATATGATCCTTACAAAGCAAAAAATAACATTTTTTTTTTACTTTTAGTCTGTGCCAAAAATTTCGATCTGAAACTTAAACCTCCGTCAGCTGTTAAAAGATTTTATGCGTCAGGATCATAAATCGTTTTCACATTCGTAGGCTGCAGAGACAATCGTTTTTTGTCTCCTATACACTCTTTTTTAGCTCATGGATGACGTAGTCGTGCGATGGCCTTTTGGAGGCACTCGAATGGCACTCTTTCACTCACTCACTCACTCACTCACTCGATTCTCATTAATTTATTCATTAAAGTCAGATGAAACACTTTACTCTTACCTCCCTTACTTAGTATTACTTTTGTTCCAAGTGCCTTTTACGCATATGTTTGGAATATTCCGAGAGGGTACTAGTAAAGCGTATTTTTTTTCCCCGACACATCAGTTATAGAAATGGGTTTTGTATAAATGGAAATATTCTAATGAACACTGATAATATCATCTGAAAGAAATGGACTTAGAAATGTTAAAAGGACATCGAAATTTTTGAGCGTGGATCATTGTTGTATATTTGGACGAATTGGCCACATTTTTTCCCGATATTACTTGATATGGAGAAGATGCGATCGACAGGAGTGTGAAAGAGCTATCGCAGCCTGACTATGGGATTTCGTTCAGCAAAAAGCGAATAACGAGACGTTGAGGAGTATCTATTGTGGTTTATTGTTATTTGGACGAATCCATTCGACCATTTGTCTTCGTATGCAAACAGCAGGGACTGAATTAATGTTGTGTCAACTGGAAGCACAGGTTTTAGAACCAACAAGCGTTACGCTATTTTGCTTGAATTCTTAGGTGATCTTTGCCTTAAAGTAGGTTTTTGTTTGTCGGTGATTCTATTTAGCAGTGTTATTAATGTAAGTTCTACAAGAAATGCTGCGCTTGTGTAGACAAGTCTCTAGGACATTTAGGTGGAGAAAGGCAATCGGATACTTCGACTGCGTTTAAATAAATACTTAGCTAGATCAGAGCACGTACAGCTATTAAAATAATTTTTAGCTAGTGTTTATCAAAAGCGCGTTCTAAAGCAGTTTAATTTAGCCATAAACGCCTGTATTCTGTATTTAATAGCTCGTTCTACATATACCACGGGTACCCAACATCAATTTTCGGAAAACATTTATTCGGAAGACGATTTGAGATCTAGAATTTTTGGAACATTTTTTGTAAACTTTCTTGCTTGCCTGCCTCTCCTAGGATCTTCGAACAACTAAAAAATCGTATACTTGCCCATTCCTAACGGATTTTTACCCTAAAAAGGTCGCCTAGAATTTTCGGGAGCCTTTTTTCTGCCTGAAATTTTCGAAAAGGTAAGTTTTGATCCCTATAATTTTCGGATCACTAGACTTTCAGCTAGGAAATCCGAACAAATGAAAAAATTTTAGGGGATAAAAATATGCCTATATCTATCGTTTAAATACTAAATTACGTTTGACAATGCTATGTTTAAGTGCTTTTAAACTATATTCTCGTTGGGTGGCCCTAATATACTAACCGTTACATACTCTTTGTGAACAGCATATGGAAGCATTTATTTAAAAGCATCGCACTTTTAGGAAACCTTCGAGGTCCATTAAAATAATTGCTTAAAACCACGGTTTAAATAAAACTCGGGCTTATGTAAAACTTAGCTATTTTACAAGAAAGTGCACTGTCGTTCGGAAAGTGTTTGACATGTACAGTCACATGACAAAGCAAATTATTTTACAACTAAAAAGCGTTAATAATTGCTTTTAAAAGTGATCTTTTTGTTGTAAGTAGAAATGCTGCGCTGATAACAAGTTTCTAGAATATTCAGGTGCACATGCAATCGGATACTTCGAGTCACGCTGTATTTTGGCAAGTCCGTACACAATGAACCGTTCAAAAAGATTTATATGTTTTCCTTTGATTATTGAACTGTCTTTTCTACACTAATTCAATTCATCCATGAGCTCGCTCCTAGGAGCCTTTGATTTCTATAAGAATATATTTTATAAGAATATTGAAGCTGAAATTTGCGAAATTTTAAGAATATTTTAGGAATAAACCCGAGGCTGAGAATTTGAAAAGGATTTGAAAATCTGTAAATACAGTACATCAGTTTATGTTTTAACTTAACCGTAGAAAATTATTTCTTTTACTAAACGGCAAGAACACTGGTAATTGAAATCCTAATACATCATGTTCTAAAGCGGAAAATGCCGTAAGCTGTAGTTTATAATTAGGATTAATTCAAGAACATGTTCAGCCTAAAATCGACAAAAAATAACAATATTCAGCCTAGGCCGGAAAATAACATTGTTATATAAAAAAAAGAGTATTTCGAATTCGAACGTTACTCAACAGTACCGATGGTGATCATATTTTGAGCTTGGGTGACCTGTGAGTACACAGACAGTTTGAATAAGCGGGTGCCGCATATTGCCATTCAATTTTCAGTCATTGCTGGGCCGAGGATTAGAAACTTGATATAACACTGAATAGCATAGTTACTGGTCAGAGTGTGTTTTTTGGGGGCAGGGGCGGTAAACCCATGTCATTTTCTCCCTGTATGCTGCAAGTAGGTAGGGCTCTCCCTTTTATGGCCTTTATGGGGAGGTTCCGAACGAAAGGGATTCCCTCTTTTCATAGGCGTCCTGTATGTAAAAGGGAAGCGATTTCACTATTGAACTATATATATATATGGCAATCGGGTTGGGAAAACTGTCATTTAAGAGGCCCTGCGCCTAAGAAACGACCGATGATTTCCGGCTAAAAAATAAAATCGGCCGATTTTTATCTCCCAAGTAGAGGTTACCGAATACTATTCAAAAATGAATTTCTTTTGTTTCAGTTTCGCTTTAAACCAAAAATATCGAGCCGCAAACTTTTTCCGTCTGATAGCAGCAAAATCAGGCCTAAAATAAGCCTTCGCAAAAAACGGTTCGGAAATCACTATCGTAACCCAAAATAGCGAGAAAACCACACAGTGATAAAGAAAAAGGCCTTTTAATGCAATGTTATTCGATAAACATCGAAAAACGGCCGAACGGAATAAAAAATAAATTTTCAAGTATTGCATATTAAATTAGATGGAGCGTTGGAGCTGATTTTAAAATAATTATTTCTCAAAAGTCCAACGCTGTTGAAAGCAATCACAGTGATGAATCAGACATTGGAGGGATATACATTACGATTCTGGAAAAACATTTTTCGGCCAAAGTATATTGACGTTGTACAAACCGTTCAAAGTTGCAGTGTTTACCGTTATCTTGCTACTTCGGCGAAACACTTCTGTGTTGGCAATACGGCCGTGGATAGCGTGGTAAAGGCCACTTTAATCCTTGCTAGGCGCTCAGAGACCATCCTAAGTAGAAGGACGTAGAATTAAAAGAGAAAGGAACATGAAAAATAGGCAGAAAAATCGAGAAAAAGAAAAGAACTCGAAATTACCATCTGCTGACGAAACTTGAATCTGGAAAATGTCGTCGCGTGACAGCGGCCAATGACGTCATTTGTCTAAACTGCGGCGGAATCTAACGAATGCACAACTTTTTTCCCGGCCAGAAAGCACTTAGTGAAACAATGTTACAGTAATGTTATTTTTTCACAAGCGATGGGGACTTAAAAAGAAAAAATTCCCGAACCGCCGCACCGTTTTGGCCTCAGTGTGATCTGATCGTTGTGGGGTCACGAGTCGACGCTTCTGGCCAGCGGTCTATTGAAAGAAATCTGATCCCATGTTTATTTTTTCGGGCGAGAATCATTCATGTCAATATCCAATGTCTTCCTTCAAGGAAAAAAAGAGAGAGATATTGGAGTACTGTTGCTCCCGAGAACGAGGAACATCTTGGTCCCGAAAACTGAGTTCATTACGCCCAAGAATTACGATTTTTTTTTCTCAAATGACTATTATCTGGCGCTATAAAATGTAGCTAACTGATTCAATTCTTGACATAATGATTAGCCTCGCGTTTAGTATTTTCTTGGACATGAAAATATCGGGGGTGACGCTATTCGGTGGAATGACGGACTGACGGAATGACGGAACGGAATGATGGAATACATGGAATATTCTAAAATATGGAATATACGGAATACGCTAAAAGGCAGAATAAGAGAAAAATCGTTTAAAAAGGGTATACATGTATACAGTCGACTCCAATAACTCGAACCCTCGCTACTGACTCGAACCTCGTGCTAACTCGAAGTAATACTAATTTTTGTTTCTCTTCAGATCATTTCTATATAATTTTACCCTCATTAACTCGAACCATGTTTTAAGCGCGTGATAAGTAAAAGAATTGACTTACCGTAATGATTCGATTTAGCGCCCTGGCGCTTATTTACTTTCGGGACAGGGCGCTTATTTCTTTTTTGAGAAACAACCAAATGTTAAAAAAAGAAATTTGATATTTATTTAAAAACGAACAACATTGAAACTGTAGCAGTAACAAATACTGACGGTGAATGCTCAGTTAACGCGAGGGACTTACCTTGAAACTTGTTGGGCACTTTGTCGATGGAACTTTCCTTCCTTATATTCACCTTTCTTAAAAAAGCTCGAAGTCAAAACAAAGTGCAAGTCGATTAAGGTAATGGATCAAGGAGACTGGAAAACGGACTTGTTTTCCCTGGATCCTTCCTGGCCAGAACGACCAGCCGAGCAATCTCCACAAAATTTGAAGAAGAGATCATTCCTTTGAAGACTTTGAAGACTCTGGAAAATCTAAAGCAAGCTACCGGAAACATTTAGGCACAGGTGTGGCCCCCATTAATTGGTAGTACAATCCTGTCAAGCTTAAGTTTACAATTCTTTTTTTTAGAACAGCCGTTTTATGAAAGTTATCCGACATTAGATTCCTGTGATACCGGACCCTTCACCCGTCAAGATGGCTTTCAAAACCGTCATAAGGTCTATAGTGTGGCTTACGGCAGTACGAAAATTGAATTTTTAATATTGCCTCTGCTTTTTCGTCAGTCCAGTTCAAATAAAATACAGAATATTCTGTAAATTTCGTGTTTTAGAGTATTCCGTATATTGCATGTATTCCGCCCTTCCGCCAAATAGGGTCACCCAAATATTGGGGAGGACATCATAAAAAAATGTAGGAGACCGATAGGACTTTTAAATCGATGAAAGTGCCTCATTCATTTTGCAACTTCATTTTATAATATGCTTCATAATTTGTTTCCACAATAACATTTATGATATTTAGATGATAACCAATATGCACAACGCACAACTTGTCACATTACCAATTGGACAGCATACCATGCACTCAAACTCTTGCGCAGGAAAGTTACAGAATGAAATTATTTTTTGCTGCATTCAGTCACATTCCTTTACACTGAAACCTTGGCTGAAAGGTCTCTTTTTAGATCTGTAGATTTGTAAGGTATTTCGAAATACCCGCACATGTCTTTCAACACTAACATTGAAAGATGAAAGTTTGTTGCTGTGATAATTATGACAAAGATTGTAAACATCAAATATATAATTGGATGTTTTAAGCCCAAATATTCTATCACCTCTTCGACAGCATGGAGGGGGAAATGGGGGCTTACGGTATTGAGCTTTTTTTCAAGCGGTATTTCGGTAATTTGGATTTTAAAGTGTGGTATTGCGGTATCATTTAGCCCTGCGGTATGCTTTATTTCTTCCTTTTGGTTAACGGTATTCGGTAAAAGAAGATCCTTCACGGTATTGCGCTACTGTTCATTGCCCTCTCCTGTTTAATGCTAGCCTGCGTAGCAGGCGTTTGGATGACTACTCGCGTGTCTCCCTCGCGCCCGACCGTTCTCTCTTGCCCCACTACTTCCAAGCGCCTGCTACGCAGGCTAGTTTTATGCACGTCAGTATTGTTAAGACTTTAGATTAATGGTAAATGATTACCATTACACAATTTCTGACAGATAATCTCTGATGAAATTGGTAGGGTATCTTTTTCGTTCGTTGTACCGATCAATTCGAGGTCGTCTCACGTTTCCTCGCAAAATTAAATTAAATTGATTAAATACCGCAATACCGTGAGAAAAATTGGTAAATACCGAAATACTGTGTCAAAAATCGACGAAATACCGATACCGCATTTATTTTCGGTATTGGGTACCTACCAATGTCCCCCCCAGCTTGGCAACTTCGTCACCTTTCTTCAGGTCCGCTGACCCCTACACGCGCTGACCCGTAACGTCCGTTGGAATGTATGTGACGAAATACAAGCAGCCCACATTCAAAGTACTTGGACGCTAGCTGAGGCTGAATTCATCATCATTAATAGGAAAAACATAAAACTGTTTCACTTCACGATTTCTGGTGATAGAAAGACTGTTTTTTTTTAGACTTATATTTCACGTATTTGTTTGGATCCCGCTGCAGTTCGGACAAATGAACGCTGTCACGCGACAACATTTCCAAGATTCAACTCTCCTTAGCAGATGGTAATTTCGAGTTTTTCTCTTTTTCTGCGAATATTTCATTTTCCTTTCTCTTTTAATTCTATATACTTCTCTTTAGGATGGTTTTGAGCGCCTAGCAAGGCTTAAAGTGGCGTTTACCACGCTATCCTTGGCCATATTGCCAACAGAGAAGTGTTTCGCCGAAGTGGCAACTTAACGGTAAATACGGTAACTTTGAACGGTTTTTACAACGTCAGTATACTTTGGCCGAAAAATGTTTTTCCGAAAACGTGATGTATATCCATCCAATGTCTGATTCATCACTATGATTTCTTTCAGCAGCGTTGGACTTTTCAGAAATTATTATTCTAAAATCAACTCCAACGCTCCATCTAATTTAATATGCAATATTTGAAAATGTATTTTTTATTCCCTTCGGCAGTTTCTCGATGTTTATCGAATGATATTGCATTAAAAGGCCTTTTTCTTCATCACTGTGTGGTTTTCTCGTTGTTTTGCGTCGCGATAGTGATTTCTGAACCGTTTTTTGCGAGAGCTTATTTTAGGCTTGATTTTGCTGCTATTAGACGGAAAAAGTTTGCGGCTCGATATTTTTGGTTTAAAGCGAAACTGAAACAAAAGAAATTCATTTTTGAATAGTATTCGGTAACCTCTACTTGGGAGATAAAAATTGGCCGATCTTATTTTTTAGCTGGAAATCATCGGTCGTTTCTTAGGCGCAGGGCCTCTTAATAGTTATTTAAACTGGGCTTTGATTTAAAGATATATTCTGAACAGACCCACCTTATGTCTGTATCGTTAACAATTTATTATAAGCGACATGAAATGTTTGTCCTTTATATCGTTAAACGGTCTTTATGTTTTTAGTTTTAGTTTGTGTTTTTGCCTTGTTTATTTGTTTTAGACTGCGTGTCACTCTTCGCCTTGCCGTAATGGTGGAACATGTGTACCAAACTACAAATATCACACCTTTGACTGCGGTTGTAAAGACGGTTACGTCGGAGACTTATGCGAAGAAGTATTTGGTACGTTTCCCATAAAAGGTTGTCAAAGGACAGACTTGCACTTTACAATAGTAATAATGTAATGAAACTTGACCTTGACGAAGATACTTTCGAAACTCCATGTAAGAGCGACCAATCGTCCTCCCATGGGCGATCACCTATCTAGAACACTAAACGTTTCTCAGTAAAATCCCTTTAGTGTGGAACCTTTTGTAAACGAGCACCTCTCATAAGCGACTACGACAATTATTTCGGGTGACGTTTTGTAATTTTTCATTGTTTTTAACTTCTAATAAGCAACCATGCACTTGGCGTCATGGTCCGATCTCTTTGTTTGCTGCAAGTAGCATGTGTACTAAGCTAATCAAAGTACAGTAATAGCCCGCGTATAAGAACCTGAATTTTTCAATTTAGCCTAAATAGGTTCTTATATAAATGGTACTTAAAGCAAATTTAGGCTACCGAGGTTCTTAAAATAGGTTCTTATATTTTCATATGAATTTCATCTGTACATACTATATATATTGTAAATATCATCTCATAATACAGTATAAATCATTTATTTGTACCATAGAGCAATGCCTATAGGCGGTTCAGTGCAGGTACAGCATATGTCCTTAACAAAACATAACAAAGAAACTCATGTTGATACCAAATTCATAACAAGCTCAAGCAATGAGGAGAAGTGAAAAACGAAATAGATGATGATCTTAATTCAGCAGTTTCTACCTATACACTTTTACAGCAACCCCACTGATAAGAACCTAACTTAAAATTTTAGCCTAAATAGGTTCTTATGTGGAGGGGGCTTAAAATGAAAATTTTAGCCCAACAGGTTCTTAAAACCCAGGTTCTTATACGCGGGCTATTACTGTATACGAAACCGTTTTAGCGACGAGATGGAACTTCCACTGAGTCGTAACTAAGAAATTGCATGCAATAAATTCCCTCCAAAAAGCAGATGAGTCCTGACATCTTCCAAGAAAACACGTCCTCTGGCCTCTTCTCAGTAGAGTCGGCCTTGCGGTTTGATTCTTGTAAGCGACCGCCTGCCATTGTCATTTTGGGTGTTCGCTTACGGAGGGTTTGACTTGGATTTATTTCTAAAGCCGCATTTATGAAATCCTTAAGGTGTAGAGGGGGCTTAGCATGCAGTCAAATAGTAAAAATATTAAAGTAAAAATATATAAAATATCTCAATCAGTCAGTTCGGCGCCTAGAAGTAAGCCCAGGAGTAAAACGTATACTATTGTAGTGACTTTAAATCGAGTTGATATCCTTTTTCCTTTAGTTCCGAAATCATGCAAGCAAGTGTACGATCATTATGCAGACAAGTGAGTGAAATTGTCATTTATTTATTTATTTATTTATTTTTGCCATTTTGGCATGTATTGGCAGTGCCAGATCCAGACCTTAGGATAGGGCGGGGGGGTGGTCATCCAGACCCTTACATAAGGGGGGGAGCTGTGTCCAAAATAATTTTGTTTCGGCCCCTCGGGCCTCAGTTTAGTCTAAAAATAAGGGGGGGCCAGGCCCCCCGGGCCCCTCCCCTGGATCCACCACTGTATTAGTTTGTAACAACAGAGAATAATGAACAGTCTTGGGTGCACGAAGTACGTTTACTGTGAGATTTAACTCTTGTTTGAGTTCAATATTTTAGTCCTGGGTCATCCAGATCACTTGGTTTGCATTATATATACTGTCTTAAACAATAATTATTTACCGAAGTGCCCACCTTGGCTTTTGTGCAGGTCCCAACGAAGCCAGCTGGTTAAACTTTTTTTTAACTCAAGACCAACTTCCGTTCTCTGTCAAATTGGTGACTTTGGATGTGGACCAGGGGGTTGGACGCCGGTCATGAAGATAAACGGAGGCAAGGTATGAAATTTGTGGATGAGATATTTATCCAAATTTTTTCAAATTCCAATTCGACCCGGAATTGTAGACGAAAAACCACTACGTGAATCACCATGCGAGCTGAGCCTGAGAAGGAGAAAATTTAGGACGTTTTGCCTAAATAACGTCAAACCTTTGAAGGTAGCCACAGCCCAAAATTTCTGGACTAGACAAGCCTGTTTTCTCTCGTCAAACTGTTTTTTTCGAGTGCGAGCATCCGTTTATTGATTAGACGATGGTCATAACCGAGTCTGCTGTAGCAAGCACACGGTTATTAGGCCTGGGTTCGAAACTATATCCCAAGCACCATGCATTAAATGCTCAACAAAGATTTTACTCGATCGATTCATGCAGTCTTTCTCGAGTGCGCCAAAAGAAAGACTGTGTTGGCGGGGTGTACGTGAACATGTTACTTCTAAATCTTTACTTTATCTATGCCACTTTTTATTTTTTTTACCTACGTGTTGCGAAGAATACCAGGCACCCGGCGTTGCCTTAAGACTACTTACAGTATAAGAATGTATTCCGTACCTCCTCTTTTGCAATTTGTCTCCCTACAAAACACTGATTGGCCATTGAACGGTAGTGGCTACCAACGCACCCACAAACCAGATGGTTTGTTGGAAGCTGCTTGTTTATCCTTCGAATGGCATCAGTGAAAAAACTATTGTGTCAGTCGCTTGAGGTGGTTGGGTTGCGAGATTTACATCAAAAGTAAAATAGGTTCACCGCTATTTGTGAATAAATGACCTGTATATTGTTTATTTACACTAAACATTTGACCTCGCGTGGAAAGAATGCTCAGTTTCTACTCCATTTGAATAAATATAAATTTTCAGTAAAATCCACGTGGCGTCAATATTGCGACCAGGTAAATGACGTCACCAGTCACCCAGCAGCAGTGCAGTACCAACTAAGGGCTTAACTTTTGAAGAAGGCTTTGGTCGCTGTCGTTTCATATGAAAAAAAAAAAGAATTGTTTTCCTCCTGGACCCAACTAGCTATTCGTTTAAGCTGTCAAGATTTTAAGCAGCGAAATGATCGAGGATAGATCTTCCCATGCCTTACAGTATAACAGACAAAAGCCGAACAAATGATTCGACCATGAATGAATTTTCATTTTTCTTTCCAATGGTGATTCGCTTAAGCACTAGTTGTAAAAAAAATTAATATATTCTGTAGTAGCTTTTAGCCACTAGCTGGCTGGAAAATATTCAGATACAAAATAGCACAAACTAAATGGTGACAATGAAGGCTCATCGCTTTCGGCAATGTTATGAAGTTTTATTGCGCAAAGAATAAGGGGCACCCAACGAGAATATAGTTCAAAACTACTTAAACATAGCATTGTTAAACGTATTTTAGTATTTAAACGGTAGATATAGGCATATTTTTATCCCTTAAAAATTTTTCATCTGTTCGGATTTTCTAGCTGAAAGTCTAGTGATCCGAACATCATAGGGATCAAAACTTACCTTTTCGAAGATTTCAGCCAGAAAAAAGGCTCCTAAAAATTCTAGGTGACCTTTCTAGGGTAAAAATCCGTTAAAAATGGGCAATTACACCATTTTTTAGATGTTCAAAAATCCTAGGAGAGGCAGGCAAGCAAGAAATTTTACAAAAAATGATCCGAAAATTCTAAATCTCAAATCGTATATTTTCCGAAAATTGACGTTGGATGCCCCTGAAGAATATCAAAGGCCCTTTGCATGACGATTCTGCACTATTAACGGAAGAAAGTGTTGCCAATTAAACAAGCTTTGTTAACGGTAACCGGTCAAGTCGGGTGTTTCTTGGTGTTACGGAAACTATTGTTTGTTAGCTTTTGTGTTGTGGTGTGGGTATTGTTCAGTGTCTTTTCAATCTTTTGTATTACGTCATTAGTGTCCGCAACACCAAGAAACCACCGTCAAGTCGCGCGAATGTTTTCTCGCCCGAAGTTATGTCACCCGTAACCAGAGTCGCCTGACTTAAATGCGGAGTCATGTCGCCCGAATTTTATCAGGTGAAGTGTACAGAGAAAGAAAGTTAATTTTTGTTATATAAAGAGAGTGTGTTAATTTATCTCGTTCTTTAAACCATCATGAGACGAAACAAGCGGAATGAATGTGTAATATATTTCGCAATTTAACCAACTAAAACTATAACAAAAATCTCAAATCTGATTGGCTATCAACTGTCCTGATTTCAGCACTAATAGAACATTGTAATAGGACAGCACGCGTCCTGCCTATGTAATTGGACAGCAGGCGTCATCGCGCGTGCGCACACTAAATGGCTCTTTTTCACTGCTAGCAAGAAAACTCTTGGAGTTTCTTGTGCTTTTTTCTATTTCAAGAGGGTTAAAACATCACAAATTTTTGTAACAGTTATGATTAATTGGTAACAGAACTTCGTTTCGTCCAATTTTGTCTGTAATCATACACGTGATTAAGCAAATCGGACTCCAGCTCCGTGTCGTCCTATTATTATGATTACTGACTGAATTGGATTCCACTCAGTCCCATTACCATTATTAATCAAAACGAAACAAGCGCGATAAATGAGTATATCTCTCTATATAATCTTCGATAAGACGAAACAAATGCGGCAAATGGTAATAGGGATGCTAGGCTGATTGTTGAGGCATGATAAAATTTCGAGCCTCATACTGTTCAGTATTTCGACGACTTGACTAAACCTTCGGGCGAAATAACTCTGATTTCGGGTAACATAACTTCGAGCGAGATGACTTTTGGGCGACTTGACCGTAAACCTTGTTAACATATTGGAGAGTCTTGGATCAGGCTTGAAAGTTTATTTTAAGCAAAAGCAACATCGTTTTGTGGAATTTCTGTCGTTTCGTTGCTTTCTCTGCTTTTCGCTCTAAAACAAAAAAAAGCTCTTTTCAAATAATCGTTTTTGTTACAAAACTGCTGGCGGAGTGGAAAGGTAGCTCTGGGAACGAGGTTCACTTGCGTTCGTTGAGACTGTCTAATGACCAATAAAAAAAGTTCGACAAATACTTATTTTAATTAACGCGAAGTCAGGAGTTACAATGAATAGCTATTGTTGCGTCATACAATGTTATAGCTTAATTTTAGTTTTTCCTATTTCTGTTCATTTTCATGCTATTTTAGAGAACATTTCACTTCAATTCAGGGCTCTGGACAAACAAACAATCCTTTAACATTGACGGAGGGAAGACTGGGTTTGACGCAGAGGAGACCAAATTGCCTTCCTACTGGAACACATCCTTCTCTAAAATCTGTCTCGGTATTAAAATTAAAATTACCGGGAACATCAGCTTTGCTGTCATCGACAGGCAAGCGCACTCTTTGCATTCCCTGATTGCTGATGGGAAAAAGCGTAAAACCTCGCTAGGACGTGACGCGTGGAAGGCGCTGATTGGTTCACGGGGCTCCTTACAGAAGTACTGCAACGTTGAAGGATTCAATGTTAAAGGGAAAATGGGAAGCGACAATGTCGGCCGAAGAGCACGGGCAAGAATTGGCATCATTAGTAACGATTTTCACAACTGCATTAGTTGTGATTCCAGAATCGGGTTTGGCACAGGTGGAGGTCCCGATGACAACAATGTTTGTGGCAATGCGGCTGACGGAAAATGGAATCCAGACAACGGCGGCAAAAATGTAACGGGAATAGGTTATATCTTGGTGCAGTGAAACAAAAATACTCGCACTTTAAGAGGCCAAATTCAGTTACAGTAACAGCAACAATTCGGATTTAATGCACTTCGTTAAAATAATTATTGCGACCTGAGTAGCAATCGTGTCAAAAACAAAATGCTTGAAATTTTACTATTGCAACACCAAAACTGTTCGATTACCAGGAGTTTGTAATCAGACAGATCAAATCTGACAGTTAAACAGCCAACGAAAATCAAATAAGAAAATGTTACAAGCCAATAGTTTTTAACCACATAGCAGCTGACTGCAGCTGCAGCATGAAAAAGAGAATGGACGAAATTGTCTGGTCCAATGGCTGTCATTCAGATACATTTTTTTAAAAATTCGAGAGCCTGATTTAGAAAGCTTTGAAAATGTAGAAAACGGTAAAGTTCCTCAAGTGTACGATATTTTTGCTTTGAGCCTAGCTGCAAGCTGATGCAATAAAAACTTTGTGCTTACATTAATAAGATCTAATAAATATTCCAATACTAAGATTCTTGAATTTTGTTATTGACACAATTAATTAGTAATAGGACTCCGTGTAGGACAATTCAGGTCATTCAGGGATAATCGGGCTTGTAATTTCAAATCAGCCTCGCGCTGATTTGAAATTTGAAATTTGATTTGAAATTTTACTTTACTCGTGACCATTAAAAAGATAGTAGACTAATACACAGTATCATACCCTAATTTCATTGTTTCCTTTTGTTTACTTGTAGCCGCTCTTTTTAGCACTAATGTTGAGTAATCTCACCCTTTTTTAGTATATTAATGGGGTATTTCAAGATCTTCACTTATGGTTGTCCTTTGCATACATCAAGTTCTAGCGAATTTAAGATTTGATTTTCCGGGCGCATTTTAATTAAACCCAGTCTAAACACAAGAAAAAGTCCAAGAAATACTGCTTTAAAATCACTATGCAATTAATTATATATGTGATGCATTGAGACTTACTATGCACGTAAAGAAAGCTCTAGAGAGCGGTTTATTGAGGCACTTGCCATTCTACATACGAGGTGATAGCGTTCGGCCTACAACAGTCAGGGAAGGTACTGTAGCCACAACTTGTTTTTCCAGAGGACCATTCAAGATAAGAGGTATCCCAGAGTCTAACCACAAATTGATTTTAGAGCTGCAAAGTTATAAGGGAAACCTCTTTCAAGTAAGATCAAAGTAGAACTTAGAGAGTACTACTATTTCCGAAAATCAAAACGATTATTGATCTGCAAGTCTGCGGTCCATAGTCCCAGACGTCTAGTGAATTGGCAGAGAGGGCCTGGAAAACGCTGAACAGGGACTAGGCAAGGAAGCAGCAACGCCGACAGCGACGGCCGCGAAAACGTCACCAATAAAAGGACAACTTACTCGCGGTCTAAAATATCAATTAAACTGATTTACGTTCTCGTTGCCGTCGCCGTCGCCGTCGTCGCCTAAAGCTCTTTATTTTATGTAGTTGTGACAATTCAGTGTTGAATAAAAGTATCTCTATGTCTGTATATCATTCCGTCTGTTTTTTCTGATAGACGTTTGTTGCTAGGCTGCGAAGAAGATGCATGGAAGTTATAAGGGTGCAGGAGTTAAAGGGGGGCGCGAGGGAAACACGATTCGTTTTTTCGCCCACATCAAAACTTCTTGCGCCTGCTAGAATGTCTGCTCGTAGCTATTACTGCCGACCCATCCTCGGAGACCGAGGAAAGGTTAATCTATCTCAGTCTATCTATTTCGGGCGCACCCGCACCGATTTGATAAGTAAGTCTGTTCCATCTCCGCCTGTCGGTCATGACAAGCAGATTCAAGATCCTGCCTCGTAAGACCGGTGTCACTATCTGGTTGGTCAATGAATGTTGTTGTTGGGAGCTCGAACAAGCTCTGCGTTCCGATTAGTGAACAACGGGTCAGAGAAGACAGTAGCAGCAAATTCTTGAGAGTAAGCATGTTTTGGATGACTGTTAAGACTCTGTCAAACGGCTTGTTGGTGTAATATACAGTCGACTCCCGATAACTCGAACCTTCGAGGGAAATAGAAAGAAGGTTCGAGGTATCAGGAGTTCGAGTTATCGGAAGCTCGAAGAAAATAGCCGGGAGTAAGGAAAAAAATTTTTTTACTGCACAGTGAACATTTTAATCACATTTAATTGTAAAAATGTTAAGTGAAAATTGAAAGATACTTCTAGATTATAAATCAGAACGTAACGTAACAAAACATTGCCTAAATACAGCATGCGTTTTACTGTTTAGAGAAGTAAAGCTGTTTCACGTTAGATAGTGTGACAAACAAAATCAGCGTCCACTAGTAAACTATATGCGTACAACATGTTGTGAAGTATCTTGAAAGTTATTTTAAGACGGATCTATCGTATCTTTTAAGTTTGGTTTTTGTTTCAGTGAGTCTTTTTTTGTGTTCACGTTTTCTTTCCCTGTTTTGATCGTTTGGTTTTACTTATTCTTGAATTTATGCTTAGCTCGCGAATTTACTTATTGTCATATTAGGAATGTTATTCGCTTGGCACTATCAGATGGTAGTTTTTAACAGGTGGTCGTGTTTTTGGTGTTAGAGCTGACCTTGGTTCTTTGGTAGTTGTCTGTTGCGGCTGTGCGTAGGCGAATCTATGCCTAACAATAGCAAACCTGTTGCAATGTTAGTGATAAGGTATACGATAGAAACTCTTCCGGTCAGTTAACCCAAACATGTCCAGCTTTGGCTATTAAAACCGCTTCTATACCTGAACTAGTAGAAGAAGAGAAGAGTAGAAAAGTAGAAAAGAGTTACAAGAGTAGGAAGATTAAGATTGTTAGCAGAAGTCAAAGAAGAATAAAGGCCAAGATGCAAACCTCATCGTGTAGCGAGCGAGTTGCTCGAACACACCCCCACAAACATATCAATGGGAAATTCAAAATTCGATGTTTCGGACGCCAGTAGACTATTTTTACCGACCTTTTAAGGGCTCAAAACATGGTTCGAGTTATCTAGGGTAAAATTACATAGAAATGATCTGAAGGGGAAAAAAAACTACTCGAGTTAGCTGGAGGTTCGAGTTATCGAGGGTTCGAGTTATCGGGAGACAACTGTAAATACCTGTTGGAAGTTGTGAATAATGCTCATTTTTGAGCAGGTGCAGACAACTTCGTCAGCCGATGGTAGCGTTATTTATTGTTTGTCTCGCAAGAGATTGCAAAATTTGCATCGCTTACAGCCGCGGGTCTTTACATTTTGACGCCCTTGTTTGCCCAAGCCACTTTGGGCGCGTCTGCCTTGGTTTTGACACAGTTGTGAAAAATTCAAGCGTTTAATTGATTATTGTTACGCAAATAAAGGAAAAATATCACATAAAGCCTCGAGACTCAAAAAAGAACAACATTTGTCGAAATTGAGCTTTCAAAGGAGAGGAAATTTCAAAATTTAAGAAAGATTCCTCAAAACTGGTAGCAAAATTGGATCTTGGAAGGGAAGGTATACTCCCTGATATGGCCTAAGCGGTTACGTGCCGCTGAACACGGTCTTCAGAAAATACAATTTTATTATTCAGCATCTTGAACAGGTTACGTGTCTTTTTGGACCGGAAGGGTTTAAACGAATTTGGGGGTTAAAGATGAGAGGTCTACACCTGTTATTTTTTTTACTTAGTATTTTTTAAATCCATGATCGCAATTTTTAATTCTGTATGGGAAACAAAATGAATCAGGTGTGCATAATGATAGCGGCGTGACGTGATTGTTATACGCTACTTTAGGGCCTGTTTACATGGAGGTGGGGGAACCTAGGTAGGTCAGGTAACCCGCTTAGGTGGGTAACCCCATTCTCCATATAATCTCTCATCTTAATGTGATGACGTTTACATGTTAGGTTGGGTAACCCACCACATGTTACCTCACCTACCTCGGGTACCCCACCTTCATGTAAACAGGCCAAGAGACTATAAAGGGGACAGAGAGGGCATCCCCCATATACACCCTATTCCATAGGTAATTCGTCTCGAGTTATTTTTAACACCACAGATCTCAAGGGGGATTAGACAACAGCCAATCACATAGCGCGAATGTGTTCCGCGTGGATGACCCACGCTGAGAGCCACGCGTCCTTCACGAAATGACGCAGAACAAAATGGGGGAAGACGCGGAGAGCGATTTTGCTATTCCTTTTGTCGACGAAAACGACTACAGCGAGATTTCTGCGAAAGCTGTGTCAGCGAAACCGAAATTAAAAAAGAATCGCCTTTCCTCTCTTGTATAGAGCTAAAAGTAGAGCAAGAAAATCCTTAACAAACTGAATATTCTCTCAGGATCATTTATAATTTACAGTTTGAAGAGAGTAATTTCTGGTTTGATGTTTATTTTTTTCAGTCTTTATAGCGATTATTCCTACCCACTTACTTTGTCAATTGTAGGCGAACCCTCCTAAAGCTGAATTTCAAGGGACCATATTCAAGCTCAGAAAGAGAAATAAAATTTCGTCGTTGCTTATTTACGTCCTCCATAAAACGCGAAATTAGGCATTTTCACGTCGTAGTCGTGCAAAAACGGGAAAGAAATGAACAAAAAAGTGTGTTGCACGTGCGAAGTTGTTGTTTTGCTAATTAAACCTATTGTTTTTTTGACGTTCTAGTTGTCGTCCGCGTCGTTGGATCTTAAACTCCCTAAATTGTACAAACGACCGGTTTCAATAGACCGGCGAAATTTCTCATTTAATTAAGCACTGAGGTTACGTCAACTTCGAGTTAAACTGATTTCACGGGTTGTCAAAGAGTCCAGCGATTCCTTTTTCCCAGGTGAGCGCCGACTCATTTCGCTTCAATATTCAGGAATGCTCTCGATCTTATTACGCTTTCATTGCCTCTCGCCCGACGTGTTTTGCAAGGCGTTTGGTCATGCGAAACCTCCAAGAAACATCCACGCCTCGCGCGAGGTAACTTTATCGCGATTCTAAAAATAACTCGAGACGAATTACCTATGGAATAGGGTGTATATGGGGGATGCCCTCTCTGTCCCCTTTATAGTCTCTTGAACAGGCCCTTAATGTATGCGCCAATTAGTTGCACGTGGCAGCAACCAACTCGAAAACCTAAGCTCCTTTGGTCACTGCGCACATTTCACCTTTTGACGATTTATGTAATTTAATGTTGTTTTATTTTACTTTTGTAATGTATTGTAATTTTTTTTGTAGCAAACTCTTGAAATGATACAATAAATTATAAAAAAAATCTAAAACCTGAATCATTAAATGAGGTCTCTTTGTCTTAACCAGAGTAGAAAAATGAACGAGTTTTCTCTAAAACCGAGACGGGGTCAGGGTTTGAAGGCCTCGGCGGCGCGCCAATACACAAACTTACTTGTGTTTTCACAATAATGACCAGGGGCGGATCAAGGATTTTTTTTAGCGGGGGGTGCACCACTAAGGAGCTACCATTTTAACTACCATTTTTACGGCGTTTAACGTAAATTCTTCTACCTCGTCTTATGTTTTACTTCAACACCAATAAACCACAAAGTTTTCTCTTTTTATTGCAGAATAACGGTGGTATTAGAAAGCCGAATTCATCTCGTGTTTGGGGGGCTGCGAACCCCCTACGGTCCCCCCCCCAGATCCGTCCCTGATGACCTTCTTTTTCTTGAACACTCTTAAAGGGACTGGTTCACGATAATGCGCATGTGTGAGTTCTGACAGTAGCTGATTGTTTTTAAACCAATCGGAAGCGAGTTAGATGCACGCAAGTAAATTTACAAAATTCAAATTCATTGTTCGCGACGCGAGAGTATTTCCGGGCTTTTGGTTTGATTATATATATCCGCATAATTAACGCTCGAGCAAAGTAAATTGGCAATGGCACCGACAGTTCTGCAGTTTTTTAGAAAATGTTTAGTCGGATAAAATGACATTGCATTGGTATCAAATGAAACTTTAAATGACAAAAATAACGCCCTTAGCTTTGAAGAAGTTTGCTTAGCTTTTGCATTTATTTCTTAATTTGGTCCAAGCGTGAGAATCGTATTGGACTGAAAATGAGCAAATGGCTGTTGTTCTTAGAGTGGGTAGCGTCCTTAGGCTATGCATGAAATTTCTTTTCTCCATTTGAACAAACATAAGTTTCATCTATATCTTTTTGTAAATGACATTTTAAATACAGTCTTGGTTATGAGAAATTATCCACCCCTCCTGGTGGCAGCTGGACATGAATTTGTACCAGGTGCAACTTTAGTGCAGTCTAAAGTTCTAGTGCTCACTCTTATAGACTTACCATAATTGATATAATTTGTCCGTTTATCAAAAAACACTTATTGGACTGAAAAAGTAGAAAGGAGCCTTTCAGGTCTTTCAGCTTAAAAATATCGGAACAAATTGAGGGTGGCTTAAGGTTGCTCGAATGGATTTTTTTAGGGCGATACCTCCCAAGTTTGAGCCTTAACTACGTCGGCATGAGTAAAGATATCGAAAAAAGGTTACCACAACTGTATTACATAAAGATGAAAATTTCTTATGATCTTTTTTTGTATGCAGTTTTCAATGGAATCAAACCACTATGAGATGAAGCCGCGCTCCCAAAGCTTATCATTTTCTTAATATATTAGCGAATTGAGCGGCTAACATGCTATTTCACTGCTTTGATGATTCTTAAAACTGCATTTCGAAATATTTCGAAAACGCTCTCATAGAATTTCTTTAAACTTTGCCATAATGGAGGCAATTATGGCAGGTACATACTCCCTTACGAGATTTCTTCAAAAAACTCCTGGTACAGAGAAACACAAGGATAAATGAAAAACGTAATGGCGTCATTACGTTGCCATGGCGACTCCGATTGCAATAAAACCCAGATCATAAGAAATTTTCATCTTTATGTAATACAGTTGTGGTAACCTTTTTTCCATATCTTTACTCATGCCGACGTAGTTAATGCTCAAACTTGGGAGGTATCAACCCAAAAAAATCCAGTCGAGCCACCTTAATATCTTCCCACGAAGTTTCGAGAACCGTACATATGAATGAAACAAATAGTCCTTCCAAAATGCACTGTCACCGTATGCAAGATTTATTAGTTCCTCGATGGAGCCAATATTTGGTGAATTTCTATTGGCTAGTGGTTAAGAAAAAATCTTACAAACTAAAGAGGAAAAGTTTAAACCATCTCCGGTCATGAAACGGATGGTACTTACGAATATAGGTACAGCACATAACACCGTATCCAAGAGCATAATGTTCACGAATTTTCGCGCCTCGCTCAATGCCCACCAACCTATCCCTCAATGGTGGTTGTATCCTTCATTTGTCCGCCAGTACTGTTTTCTACTCTTGGTTTTGTGTTCAATCTCACCTGAGGAAGTATATGCCCAACTTGAAGGTTTGTTGCGGCTTCAGTATTCTTTTCAGTCTTGATATAAATTTTGACGAGATTTTAAAGAATCTAAAGGAAAGGTTGAACTCCTGGAATTGGAGAAACTTAATGGTCCTTGGGCGTATTCAGATAATAAAATAATGCTATTCCGGTTTTTATGTCACGGCTGGTTTAGTCTGTACAAATATTGAGATTGTTGACGAAATTAATAAAATTATTTTTAATTTTAGTTCGAGAGGAAAAGATAAAATGAAACGTTCAGCATTAATAAGCGATGTAGAATACGAAGGTTCAAGAGCAGCACATATGAAGTCAATTAATTATTAAAGCAAGCGAATTATATGTTGTAAAAAGTTCGCTGATTCTCAGCAAAGCAGTTGGAAAATAATTCTTTTGCATTATCTGAGACAGATCGGCGGTAGATTAATTTTACGCTGTAATTTTAACGTTAAAAAAATTTCAATCACCTTACCCAAATTTTATGAAAAATGTTTACAAAGTTTTTCTAAACACTCTGCGATGGATGAAGGGGGTCTTTCTGCAGGTACCGGAAAGCTTTGTATTTTTGGTCACTTGGGATTAGTCTTTATTTGGAGTTGTTTTGTTTCCTGTCTTTTATTACTATTGTATTACGTAATCTGTGCTCCGGTCGGTACTCACAGAAGGAACCGATGAAGGGAATAGATCCTAATCCAGATACTCTTCGAGATCTAGAACAGTTATATATGGAACATAAGACACATTCTAATCAACGGCAAATCGGTGTTTTTTCACAGCCTTTTTGACAAAGGAAAAATCACGTTAGAAAATCTCGTAACCGACACAAATATATTACTTAAGTCAAACAGAATCCGAATGTGTTACCTTTTACACTTCTAGAATGGACTCAGTTAATTCGAATTTTTGAGGCCCTACCAACTCAATGGCGAACATCCTTGGCATCTTGCGGACCCAGAAGTGGCAAAACATTTATTTTGAGGATCAAATTAAACTCTGCTTTAAAACCCAGGCCTTGCAGATCGAGGAAGTTTCCCAAAAAATATTTACTCTGAAATTAGAGCAAGATATGAAACCGAACTAGACCTACTGCACTACTGCGAGATTTGAAGAACAATTTTCCGATATATGCCGTGATTGGCACGATATCTATAACTGAATTGCCTTTTAATGTTCTTATAGAAGATAAATACGGAGAATTCCAGCATAGAAATTTCAACAGATACTTAACAACAAACTCGTTTCGTTACGATATAAAATTGGTCTAGCGAATCACCATTATGTACATCATGTTTTGTAGGAACAAGTGAGCGAATCCTCTGAGCTTTTGTTCATTATCTGTTTCTTTACTAAGAGTTTCTGGTCGGACTTTATTACTTGGTGTAATCATGGGAACTGAACATAATTAGACCTCGATATACTTTAGGGATTTTGGCAAAGGAAAAAAATACTTGTTTATTAATCACAGCAACATCTTTATGAATGTCGTAATACTGAATGCACTTATCCTTGTTTGACAGTTTTTTAAAATAAAGTCAGTTATGTTCACCAGTTAGAAAAGAAACTTATGAAATCAAATAACAAAGTTGCCAATCAGGAAAGTAAATGGGAAAAGTTTCAGTTGTTCTGCCACGGTAGTGAGAATTAAAATACAAAACCCCACATCTATATTTCCTGTTTTTGAAATAGTTATGATAGTACCTAAATATTCGTTGTATCAGCCATTATAACATGAAGGTAGCGCACTTTGTGTATTTGTATTAGTTCTTTATTGATATAGATATGGTAGTGCACATGTATTATTTAGATTTAAATAAAAAGAGAAAAAAGAAAAATGTTAAAAGCAACATAGGTATAAATTCTGATTTCTAGTTTGATCCATTATCATTTTATAGGGTGCTGTATTCATTTTGCAAAATACGGGTACAGCCTTCGCATTTGCATTTGTTTTTACGCCTTATTATGATTGGCAGATTATATTATGATAAGCAGCAAATGAATGCATCATATATCATGGTGGTATATTATAGTAAGCCTAATTAATTCCTATTTGGCTATTTCCTTCTTTTCATTTCTTCCTGTTTAGCAGTTTCCTAAAACAACGTTATTGCAATTAGGTATACACATTTTAACCACAAAAGATGGACGGAAAAGGCAGTGAAATTATAACTAAAAAACGAACAGTTAAAAACGCACTAAAAAGGATTTCACCATTACAGTAATTTGTTTCTTGCATATAAGACAAAGAATGCTCTTAAAGTTACTAAGTAATATCTATAAAGTTTGAGTTTTTGAATTGTTTGAATTATTCACGTTCAAATTTTGAAGGTTTGTTCAATTTGAGGAGTTGTTTGCAACAGTGTCGATAAATATGGACTTCTACAACAACAAAAAAATACGTGGGAGGGTCTTGACTAGTATTCTGTACCTTGTTGCAAATAGTTACGACAAATTTTCAGTCGACCTATTCGTTTTCTCTAATGTTTTGATAATTTTTTTTGCACGAAGAATTTAACACCTTGTATCACCGAGATCTTCGCCAAGACATTTTTTTAAAAGACGATTACCATTACTTGAATGTACCCAGAGATGGAACATACGCCGTGTACGACACCCTGGATTGTACCATTGAATGTCTAAGTAATCCCTCCTGTTTTTCTTTAAACCTGGCCGCGTCAAAAGGAGCAGACGGGAAGCTCTGGTGCGAGTTGCTATCTTCTGAAAAGTACAGCAACCCTGGAGAGTACAAAAGAAACGAAAGTTCGCATCACTTTTCCATTAAGGTACCACTATTATTTTCTCCCACCCCCCAATAAAGACACTGGTTAAACAACTTTACCAACGTTCTCTCTCTAAGATTTTCTCGCAAAAACCCGCTGACGTTTTTTCTAAATTATGGCTTTTCCCGTTGTGTCTGAAGGAGGATTCGCTCACTTTAGACCCATTTAGAGCAGAACATCCGCCTTTGTCAAAATGGGTCTCTATGTTTGCTTGGATAGGTAAAAATGAAGGAGGAGTTGAATAGGAAATTTGATACCGCAGGTGTGTGTACTGGTCGTCATTTTAATTTATCTTCAAGTTGGTTAAAGGGGTAAACAAACCACAGGCGTTCCGTGCGAACAAAAATATCATAGTTAAGTAAAAGAGGATTCAATCGAATGAGATGCATCACACCAGCAATGAACTAATTTTTCTCACTTTTCACTTTTCTCGAAATATAAGATTTGTATGGGAGAAAAAAAGGTCTTTTTTCTGTAGCCCACGAATGGGAAAGGATTGGTAATAAAAATCAGGCAGCCTTACTTAAGTTGAGTGTTTCGTAGTTCTTCTTTCCAATGTAGTTACCCGTAAACTCTGAATAAAACCCTTTAAATAGCCATAAATCGGCCTGGAAACCACACAGGAAAGAAGAAACACACAACTTAAGTTAGGTTCGCCGATTCAGTTTTATTTAAATCCTTTTCACATTCGTAGGCTGTAGAAACAATCGTTTTTTATCGCCAAAACACTCTTTTGGGAGGACTAGAAACTTAATATAACACTGGATAGAAGAGGATAGTTACTGGTCTGAGCGTGTTTTTTGGGGGGAGGGGCGGTAAACCCATGTCATTTCTCGCTGTATGCTGCAAGCAGGCCGGGCTCTCCCTTTTATGGCCCTTATGGGGAGGTTTCGAACGAAAGGGATTCCTTCTTTTCATAGGCGTCGGGTAAATAAAAGGGAAGGGATTTCACAATTGAACTATATATAGATGGCGATCAGGTGGGGAATTCTGACATTTAATAGGTATTTAAACTGGCCTTTGATTTAAAGATATTCCGAACAGACCCACCTTATGACTGTATGGGGAGCAAGGGATGGCGCAGTGGTGAGAGCGCTCAAATCCCGGGGTCGACGCCATATGTGGGTTGAGTTTGTTGTTGGTTCTCTCCTTTGCTCCGAGAGGTTTTTCTCCGGGTACTCCGGTTTTCCCTCTCCTCAAAAACCAACATTTCCAAATTCCAGTTCGATCAGGAATCAGGTAGACGAAGAATCACTTTGTGGATGTACTACCTCCAAATCATTATTATTATTATTATTATTATTACTATTATTATTATTACTATTATTATTACTATTATTATTATTATTATGATTATTATTATTGTATCGTTAACAATTTATCATATAAGCGACATGAAATGTTTGTCCTTTATATCGTTAAACGGTCTTTTTGTTTTAAGTTCTAGTTTATGTTTTTGCTTTGCTTTATGTTTTAGACTGCGTGTCACTCTTCGCCGTGCCGTAACGGCGGAACATGTGTACCAAACTACAAATATCACACCTTTGACTGCGGTTGTAAAGACGGTTACGTCGGAGACTTATGCGAAGTATTTGGTAAGTTTCCCATAAAAGGTTGTCAAAGGACAGACTTGCACTTTACAATAGTAATAATGTAATGAAATTTGACCATGATGTAGATGTATTCGAACGTAACTCCATGTAACAGCGACAAATTGTCCTCCCATGGGCTATCACCTATCTAGAACACCAAACTTTTCTCAGTTAAATCCTTTAGGTTGGAACCTTTTTGTAAACGAGCACCTCTCATAAGCGCCTACGACAATTATTTCGGGTGACGTTTTGTAATTTTTCGTTGTTTTTAACTTCTAATAAGCAACCAATTTGACGTCATGGTCGATCTCTTTGTTCGCTGCATGTACCATTTGTACTAAGCCACTCAAAGTATACGAAACCCTTTTAACAACGACATGGAACTACCACTCAGTCGTAACTAAGAAAGTGCATGCAATAAACTCCCACCAAAAAGCAGATGAGTCCTGACCTTTTCCAAGAAAACATGTTCTCGTGCCTCTTCTCAGTAGAGTCCCCTGCGGTTTGATTCTTGTAAGCGACCGCCTGCCGTAAGCAACCACAGAATCTTCCCTGGCATTTCGGGTGTTCGCTTACAGAACGTTTGATTTGGATTTATTTCTAACGCTGCATTTATAAAATCCTGAAGGGCTAAAAGCGGCTTAGCATGCAGTCAAATAGTTAAGATATTAAAGTAAAATATATAAAATATCTCAATCAGTCAGTTCGGCACCTAGAAGTAAGCCCAGGAGTAAACGTATACTATTGTAGTGACTTTAAATCGATTTGATATCCTTTTTCCTTTAGCTCCGAAATCATGCAAGCAAGTGTATGATCATTATGCAGACAAGTGAGTGAAATTGTCATTTTTTTTTTAATTTTCTGCCATTTTGGCATGAATTGTCAGTGCCGGATCCAGAACTTGAGATAGGGCGGGGGGGGGTGGTCATCCAGACCCTTACATAAGGGGAGGAGCTGTGTCCAAAAAAATTTATTTCGGCCCCTCGGGCCTCAGTTTAGTCTAAAAATAAGGGGGGGCCAGGCCCCCCGGGCCCCTCCCCTGGATCCACCACTGTATTAGTTTGTAACAAGAGAGAATAATGAACAGTCTTGGGTGCACGAAGTACGTTTTCTGTGAGATTTAACTCTTGTTTGGATTCAATATTTTAGTCCTGGGCAATTCAGATCACTTGGTTTGCATTATATATACTGTCTTAAACAATAATTATTTACCGAAGTGCCCACCTTGGCTTTTGTGCAGGTCCCAACGAAGCCAGCTGGTTAAACTCTTTTTTAACTCAACACCAACTTCCGTTCTCTGTCAAATTGGTGACTTTAGATGTGGACCAGGGGGTTGGACGCCGGTCATGAAGATAAACGGCAGAGAGGTATGAAATTTGTGGGTGAGATTTTTATCCAAATTTTTCCAAGTTCCAATTGGACCCGGAATGGTAGACGAAAAACCATTAAGTGAATCACAATGCTTTGTTAACAGTAACCGGTCAAGTCGCGCGAATGTTATCTCGCCCGAAGTTATGTCGCCCGAAACCCTAAGAGTAAGTCGCCCGACTGAAATGCGTGAAGTGAACAGAGAAACAACATACCATCAACTGATGTGATACAACTCACTTTGACTCTGAAGATGACTACTGCACAGGTTGTCGAAACGTCAGTCACTGTCAACAACAACAGTCCTATTCAGGACTACGTTCACCCGGACGATCAAACTCAACCTTTTGAAAGCTAATTTTTGTTACATAAAGAGTGTGTGTTAATATATCTCGTTCTTTAAACCAGCATGAGACGAAATAAGCGGAATGAATGGGTAACATGACTCGTTCTTTAAGCGACGATGAGGCGAAACAAGTTAACCCTGGATTAACAACGAAACAAGCGCCATAAATGAGTAATATATCTCGTTCTATAATCTTCGATCAGAAGAAACAAACGCGGCAAATGGTAACAGGGATTCTAGCATATTGTTTAGCATGATGATAAAATTTTGAGCCACATAACTCAGCATTTCGGGCTGGACTTAACTTCGGGCGACTTGACCGTAAACCTAGCGTGTTAAGGTGGCTCGACTGGATTTTTTGGGGTTGATACCTTCCAACTTTCAGCATTAACTACGTCGGCATGAGTAAAGATATGGAAAAAAGGTTACCACAACTGTATTATATAAAGATGAAAATTTCTTATGATCTGGGTTTTATTGCAATCGGAGTCGCCATGGCAACGTAATGACGTAATTACGTTTTTCATGTATCTTTGTGTTTCTCTGTTCCAGGAGTTTTTTGATGAAATCGCTTAAGGGAGTATGTACCTGCTATAATTGCCTCCATTATGGTAAAGTTTGAACAAATTCTATGAGAGCGTTTTCGAAATATTTTGAAATGTAGTTTTAAGAATGATAAAAACAGTGAAATGGCATGCTACCTACACAATTCCCTAATATTTTAAGAAAATGATAAGCTTTGGGAAACGAGGCTTCATCTCATAGTGGTTTGACTCCATTGAAAACTGCATACGAAAAAAAGGGAATTGCTCTCGGCGATCGCAGTAGTAAGAATTTTATTAACTTGCATTTAGCTGCTTTTGATACAGTTTTTGGACGTAATTTGGTCCATCCTAAAAATTTCGCATTTTCCAAAAACCGCTCGATAAATTTTTTTATAAATTCGACAATCCGAGATCAATCGTCAAAAATATTCCTGCAAGTTTTAAGAACATTGAAAATAGGGAAGGCTTTTAAATAGGACCTCAAATATAACCAATTTTCCTCAGCGCCCTCATTATTCACTGGCATTGTTTTCAAGTTTCATATACACGTGCACATTTAGCAAAAAGATAGAATTTGCATCAGAAAGGACCCTCGGTTAAATCTTCGGGATATGCTAATTACCGGGTAAAGAGATTAATGACACATTATAACATCAAAGCAACTCTTTGTGATAGTTTCTGTGATGTTATAACCCGAGTAAGATAATTAAGTATTCCATCCTACGCGATGAGCCGTGACGTTCACCGTTTCGACTCTCACTGCTATCTGTGACGACAAGCCAACTATTAGCATATTCCTGATATTTCTTCGGAAAGTAATCGAGAGTTCTTTTTTATGCAAATTTATATCTTTTGCTGGTTGTGCACGTGCATATGAAACTTGAAAACAATGCCAGTGAATAATGAGGACGCTCACTTGTAAACACAAAATCTGGGGAAAAATTGGTTATATTTGAGGCCCTATTTAAAAGCCTTCCCTATTTTCAATGTTCTTGAAACTTGCAGGGAATATTTCTTGACAATTGATCTCGGGATTGTCGAATTTATAGAAAAATTTATCGAGCGGTTTTTGGAAAAATGCGAAATTTTTAGGCATGGACCAAACTACGTCCAAAAACTGTATCAAAAGCAGCTGAATGCAAGTTAATAAAATTCTTCTTACTCGCGATCGCCCAGAGCAATTCACCTCTTTTTTTGGATGCAGTTTCCAATGGAGTCAAACCACTATGAGATGAAGCCTCGTTCCCAAAGCTTATCATTTTCTTAAAATATTAGCGAATTGTGTGGCTAGCATGCTATTTCACTGTTTTTATCATTCTTAAAACTACATTTCAAAATGTTTCGAAAACGCTCTCATAGAATTTGTTGAAACTGCGCCATAATGGAGGCAATTATAGCAGGTACATACTCCCTTAAGCGATTTCATCAAAAAACTCCTGGAACAGAGAAACACAAAGATAAATGAAAAACGTAATGGCGTCATTACGTTGCCATGGCGACTCCGATTGCAATAAAACCCAGGTCATAAGAAATTTTCATCTTTATATAATACAGTTGTGGTAACCTTTTTTCCATATCTTTACGCATGCCGACCTAGTTAATGCTCAAAGCTGGGAGGTATCAACCCCAAAAAATCCAGTCGAGCCACCTTAAATTGTAGAGTGTTGGATCAGGCTTGAAAATTTACTTCAAGCAGAAGCAACATTATTTTGTAGAATTTCTGTCATTTCGCTGCTTTCTCTCCTTTTCGCTTTAAAACAAAAAAAAACGCTCTTTTTTAATAATTCTTTTTGTTACAAACTGCTGTCGGGGTGGAAAGGTTGTCCTGGGAACAAGGTTGACTTCCGTTCGTTGAGACTGTCTAATAACTAACAAGTTTGACAGATACTTATTTTAATTAACGCGAAGCCAGGAGTTACAATGAATAGCTATTGTTGCGTCATACAGTGTTATAGCTTAATTTTAGTTTTTCCTATTTCTGTTCATTTTCATGCTATTTTAGAGAACATTTCGCTACGATTCAGTGCTCTGGACAAACAAACAATCCTTTAACATTGACGGAGGGAAGACTGGGTTTGACGCAGAGGAGACCAAATTGCCTTCCTACTGGAACACATCCTTCTCTAAAATCTGTCTCGGTATTAACATTACCGGTAACATCAACTTTGCTGTCATCGACAGGCAAGCGCACTCTTTGCATTCCCTGATTGCTGATGGGCAATACCGCAACACCTCGCTAGGACGTGACGCGTGGAAGGCGCTGATTGGTTCACGGGGCTCCTTACAGACGTACTGCAACGTTGAAGGATTCAATGTTGAAGAGGAATTCATGGGAAGCGACAATGTCGGCCGAAGAGCACGGGCAAGAATTGGCATCATTAGTAACGATTTTGACGACTGCATTTTATGTGATTCCAGAATCGGGTTTGGCACAGGAGGACGTCCCGATGACAACAATGTTTGTGGCAATGCGGCTAGCGGAAAATTTAATCCAGACAACGGCGGCAACAATATAAAGGTAATAGGTTATATCTTGGTGCAGTGAAACAAAAATACTCGCACTTTAAGAGGCCAAATTCAGTTACAGTAACAGCAACAATTCAGATTTAATCCACTTCGTTAAAATAGTTATTGCGACCTGAGTAGCAATCGTGTCAAAAACAAAATGCTCGAAATTTTACTATTGCAACACCAAAACTGTTCGATTACCAGGAGTTTGTAATCAGACAGATCAAATCTGACAGTTAAAAAGCCAACGACAATCAAGTAGGAAAATATTACAAGCCAATAGTTTTTAACCACATAGCAGCTGACTGCAGCTGCAGCTTGGAAAAGAGAATGGACGAAATTGTCTGATCCAATGACTGTCTTTCAGATGCAGTTTTTTAAAAATTCGAGAGCCTGATTTAGAAAGCTTAGAAAATGTAGAAAACGGTAAAGTTCCTAAAGTGTACGCTATTTTTGCTTTGAGCCTAGCTGCAAGCTGATGCAATAAAAACTTTGTACTTTCATTAATAAGATCTAATAAATATTCCAAAACTAAGATTCTTGAATTTTGTTATTGACACGATTAATTAGTAATAGGACTTCGTGTCGTATAATTCAGGTCATTCAGGGATAATCGGTCTTGTAATTTCAAATCAGCCTCGCGTTGATTTGAAATTTGAAATTTTATTTGAAATTTTATTTTACTCGTGACCAGTAAAAAGATAGTAGACTAATAAGCAGTATCATACCCTAATTTCATTGTTTTCCTTTGTTTAGTTGTAGCCGCTCTTTGGCACTAATGTTGAGTAAAATCACCCTTTTTTTAGTATATTAATGGGGTATTTCAGGATCTTCACTTATGTTTGTCCTTTGCATACATCAAGTTCTAGCGAATTTAAGATTTGATTTTCAAGGCACATTTTAATTAAACCCAGTCTAAACACAAGAAAAGGTCCAAGAATACTGCTTTAAAATCACTCTGCAATTTATGATATATATGATGCATTGAGACTAGTTATGCACATAAAGAAAGCTCTACAGAGCGGTTTATTGAGGTGCTTGCCATTCTACATATGAAATGATAGCGTTCGGCCTACAACAGTCAGGGAAGGTACTGTAGCCACAACTTGTTTTCGTAGAGGACCATTCAAGATAAGAGGTATCCCAGAGTCTAACCACAAATTGATTTTAGAGCTGCAAAGTTATAATGGAAACCTCTTTCAGTTAAGATCAAGGTAGAACTTACAGAGTACTACTATTTCCAAAAATCAAAAGGAGAATTGATCTGCAAGTCTGTGGTCCATAGTCTCAGACGTCTAGTGAATTGGCAGAGAAGGCCTAGAAAACGCTGAACAGGGACTAGGCAAGGGAGCAGCAACGCCGACAGCGACGGCCGCGAAAACGTCACCAATAAAAGGACAACTTACTCGCGGTTTAAAATATCAATTAAACTGATTTACGTTTTCGTTGCCGTCGCCGTCGCCGTCGTCATTGCTAAAGCTCTTTATTTTATGTAGTTGTGACAATTCAGTGTTGAATAAAAGTATCTCTATGTCTGTATATCATTCCGTCTGTTTGTTCTGACAGACGTTTGTTGCTAGCCTGCGAAGAAGATGCATGGAAGTTATAAGGGTGCAGGAGTTCAAGGGGGGCGCGAGGGAAACGCGATTCGTTTTTTCGCCCATATGAACTTCTTGCGCCTGCTAGAATGTCTGCTCGTAGCTATTGCTGCCGACCCATCCTCGGAGACCGAGGAAAGGTTAATCTATCTCAGTCTATCTATTTCGGGCGCACCCGCACCGATTTGATAAGTCTGTTCCATCTCCGTCTGTTGGTCATGACATGCAGCTTCAAGATCCTGCCTCGTAAGACCCGTGTCACTATCTAATTGGTCAATGAATGTTGTTGTTGGGTGCTTCCTCCGTTCTCCCCCAAACCCCCCCGCCGCCTTACGGCGTCTGCCGTCTTTTGGTTCCCAAAGAAGTAGTTAGCAAACAGTTTCGTTCGTGCTTCTCCAACAGTGGCCACTAAAATGCAGCCGACGTACCTCGAGACTTGTTGAAACTGAGACTCCTTGTTAGATACGTGGTCTTTCCAGCTTACGTTTACAGCAGCACGTAGAAGCCTTGTGTAGCAGCCATCAAGTTGTTTTTCCACTGCAGTGGTCAATGTCGAACTCTTTGACAAGAATAATAGACAAGATTCAACTGAAGCTATTAAGAAACGTATCCTGATATCTCCGCTGAGGATGAATTTCACACCACTGTCTGAGTTTCTTGCTAGCGGACCATGCTTTAGCTTCACGGATCTCGAGGTCTTTTTTCGTTTGATCTATCCAAGAGCCTACGTACTTGTCTTAGCTTTCTGAATTGTCTAGATCCGTCTAGGGTACAGAAAGGTCGCCCTGACGTCGATCGGAGGTTATATGCCACGTATTCGGTCTTGCTGCTGTCTATGTGAAGACCAACTTCGATCTGTGGCAGCAGTTTCAACTCGCTCTAGCAATGATTGAGCTTTATCCACACTGTAAATCAGAAAGATCTGTTTTAGCTCTAAAAATGGGGCCGTTTCGGTGAGTAAAATACATTCCTATTTTTTAGTCTTATTTGGCTCCCCTAAATCAGAGCCAATACAGTCCAATTAGCTAGGGCTGATTTGGTCCCAAGGGCTGAAATTGGCCTCAGCGTGGGCTGGAATAGCCTTTTGATTGAGCTTTTTTGGCCTAAATTGTGCTCAAATGGCTTCAGGAGGGACTGAATCAGACTTTAACCTGCAGAGCTGAATTGACACTTTATGGCTGAAACAGATCTTTTAAATTTTCACTGCAAGTTATCTGAAATCAATACAATATCGTAGGCAAAGTCAGTGTCAGTGCAGGAAAGCGACGGCTACTTTTACTTAAAGGCGTTTAAGTGTGGCCTTTTCCTTTTAATAGCGGAGCTCTAGCGCGCGAGGCGCGCGTAGCAGAGCGCCATGGGTAAGAAAATGTGGTAAACTACTCATCCGAGAAAATTTGGTAATCACGTGACCGTACACCGACCGCCCGACCGTCCGTCCGCACCACAGGCGGAAATGTAAAATAGCTCAATCAACTGTGACAGGTATGGCAACCCAAATGCAACTCGAGGTTAGTTTGACTGGAAATCGCACAGCCACCCTCTTCTTGTAAAGCAGAGACAACTAAAGAGTCATTAAGTCACATGTTAAAAGTCACACCATTGGCTGTCATGTAGGTATTTACTGCACAAGGTATATTGTACCTTAAAATGTTGTTATCTACCACCTTTTTGAAAGTGTCTTGTTCCCAAAGATGGTGATATGCTACAGTAACCCTCCCCTTAACCCAGTCGCTCCTGAGCCGCCCATAACCGCCCATGCAGATCCACGTTCCTTTTACCGCTTGTGACGTCATCAGTTTTACTGGTCAAGGACAACAGTATTTTTACTTTGTCCGCTAGCGTGTGCAGAGTGAAGAGCTCTTTCAAACCATACCAGAATGAGCTCAATTCAATCAAGGACACTGCAGAAAAAGGAAAAAAAACATGTAACATTGACCTGAAAATTGCCATGTCAATGAAAATCATGTTCCACTACCCGCCTACCTTTCCTTTCATCTCACTCTAAGATCCTAAAAGCTTTCTTTAAAACTTTTCCCACCAAAATGAAGCCTACTCAATGCCAAGGAAAACAAAATTGAGGCAAGAAAAGTGAAAAAGGAGGGAGGACAGAAAGCAAAACGTAGAAGTTAAGACTGCTGTGTCACTTTTAAACCCAAAAACTATATTCAAAATTTTGCTTTCCATGCATGCCAGAACTTCTAATATTTTGCATCTGGATCAGAAGTTCGAGAAGGGTAAGACCTGTAAATGGCTTAAGAGTTAGCCTTTATAGCACGACAGTGACCAGAAAACTGCTCGACTAGGCTCAAACCGCGTTCTTTGGCAAAATCTCCAGGGGGCGAATTTTTAAAACACTTTTACTTTGAATTATGACCACCACTCACTTCAAATTTTTGAAAAACTCTTTCAATGGTTGGGGATTGATTGGCTTTTCAGTAGCTTTGTGGGGGGTCGAAGTTGGTTGTTAAAAATTCCCAAATAAGCTTTCTTAGAGCTGGTTTTCATTGGCTAGAGCTGAAGTCATACGCGAGCCGGTCTCCGGTCGTTGATTTTCTCCATGTGTGCGAACCCAAGCAGCCGAACAATTTGTGAGGTAGAACCTTTTGTTTGGTTGTTGTACTTTTCAAGTGTAGAGAAGCAATGACCAGAAATACATCTGCATTTGTAGGCTACTTATAACTTAGTGAAAACACTGAAAATCGGACTTGTAAGTGGGGTCATAAGCACAGTGGAATTGGACTCAGAGAGAAGCGAGCACTTCCATTTTGTTCTGACTCTAGTGAAAACCAGATTACAGTAGTCAGAAGTAGGAGGGGAAGGACAGACCAAGTACAATGTTCATTCCTACACTTTGTGATTGGTTTAGTTCTTCTGCTTCTACTTGTGACTCCAATAACTTAGTGTCTACTTGATGGTAAAGGAAAGAAGTCGTAAATAGGTGGTTTTCATGCAATCTCGGAAGACACAAATAACAATGGTGAAATGAACAAATGCTGGTTGACAAACAAAACGAGCTGATGAGCGATCTTTTGTTTACCGTCTACCATCATGGCGGCAATGACGTAACGTGAGAACCACCTACAGGATCATAACCCTGTTGTTGCAAGATGATAATTCTCTAGGCTTGTGATAAATTGACGACTCCGAAGTCCTCCATAAGCCAAAGGCTAGTAGTGCAATTTGCTCAAGTACATAGGAAACAAATTAAGCAATTTTTCATTCAGTGACATTTTGGCTGCCCTGAGGGATGAAGTTAAAAATTCGTTTTCCTGAAATTTACTAATTAGATTTATCTAAGAGTATTCCCTTGCTTACAAAACTCCCAAGATTATCATCTTGAAAACAGTGTACACATTGGCCACCTTTAATAAGAATAAAAAGGAAAACAGGTCTACAGTGTACAGCTTTACACGTGTAACTCCTGCCTTCTTACTTAGGCTAGCTGCTCCCCTCTCAGATGAACAGAAGTTTGAAGTGGAAGTTGAGCGGAAGCTTTTGAATGAGTGGACTGATATAAAAAGAAAAACATACAGAGCAAACCAGGAACTGGTAAGAGAAGATGGAATTGATGCTTTTGTGTATGATGGAGTTTTGTAAGGTGGTTCTAACTTTTGAGTCTGTGAAATCCTGAGACCATTCAAATAATTCCTCTTCAACAATACTTTCACATAGTACTATTTATTTATTATGTAGTTCTAACTTTTGAGTCCGCGGAGAAATCTTATGGTATGACCATTCAAATAATGTATAGATTTAGCCAGGGCTAAAAGTCAAGCTCTCGATAATATTTATAGTTTGTTCAAACAAAATATAAAATCGTGTAATGCTAAGCGGCGAAGGCAACTTCAGAGAACGGTGAAAAACAAAAATAGGTCTAATTAGCAAACCAAATAACTTTGCACGCGCAGCACACTTTTTTTGTACATTTCCTTGCCGTTGTTTTGCACGACTACAACGCAGACCTTCCAGAAACTTTTTTATGGAGGAAATGTCGTACGTGTTCTCGTTCACTTTTTTTTACTTCTTTTTTATTTCTCATTTTGTTATCGGCGCTACAAAATTTTCATATTGTTCTTCCAACAAAAAATGTCTCTTGTGTTTTTTTATCTCTCGCTCTAGATCTCTGTCACGCTTTTTCGCGTTGAGTTTCGCTAGCCTTCCGCCTACTCTCTCTTTTTCTCCGTCTTTCTCTTGCTCTGTATTCCAAATTTGTGGGAATGACAATTAATCTAAGCTTAATACTTTAGATAACACGGATACAGAAACAATTTCCGCTTTCCGTGTCGTCTTTATTGACTCTTTAGCTGCCGCTGTTTTACAAGACGCGGGTGGCTATGCGATTTCCCGCCAAAATAACCTCGAGTTGCGTTTGGGTTGCCATACCTGTTGGTTGAGTTATTTTACATTGGTATGCCTCTGGTGCGGACGGACGGTCTCTCGGGCGGATGGTTTACGGTCACGTGATTACCAAATATTCTCGGATGGGTAGATTGCCACATTTTCTTACCCATGGTGTTCCGCTAAGAGCGCTTCGCGTGTGAGAGCTCCGCTATAACCTCCTTGATTGTGCTTCACAAGGTGCTTTTTGTTTTCAAGCATCTTGCAGAAAAGTTTTGTCAAATTTTTACTAAGCAAGGAGCGATGGGGCAGGGGTAATAGTGGTGATAGAAGCATGGAGAGATTTCCTAAACCAAGAAAACAAATCTTAAAACAACAGTGACTTTCCCAAAACAGGAAATCATCTTTAATGTGATCTAAGAGAAAAATTCTCAGTTTAAGTTTCTTTAGAGTTTTCACTGAATTGCGGCAAAAAAGCAGCATAAAGAATTATTGAGTTACTCTTGATTGAGAAGTTGACGTGTCTTTTTTTTTCTTATGTTTCTAGGAAAGACTGCGATATTATCAGAAAACTCGCGGTATCAGTTCTTCTCCCAAGACTAACAGAGATGCGAACAACGCCAGAGACTCCCAGAAAACAGCACCAGCAAGAAGTGGGCTTCATGAGAACAGCACGTGATCAACCAACTGTGGACTCATGCTTGTCAATCAAATACTCAGCTGATCACGTGTGACGCCTGACAGCAAACAAGCAATAAGAAACCGCGGGAAAATGGCGATTGAATCAACTGCGTCTTAACTCTTTCTCCCGTTTGCTGGGAAACGAACAAACTCTGCTTTCAGATAAGTAAAC